AAAACCCTGGGTTCCTTTAAATCAGAGCTAGATAAGATTTTAACAACTCTGAGCTATTAGTTAAGTTCTCCCCAAACGAGCTTGATGGTCCGAATGGCCTCCTCTCGTTTGTAAATTTCTTATGTTCTCTTGCAAATATTCTGGAGTTTGCTTGATTCCATGTCAATTTTTGTGATCGCAGATTTGTGAAATCCTGGAGGCACTGGTTATTAGGTTAAAATAACTAGTTTATTAGTGTTTAAGACTGTAAGAATCTGCATATTTGAATCAAACTACTAAATTTTGTCTTTCTGCTAAAGCAGCGTGAAACATGAAGTAAGAGCATCTATCAATCACAGGTTGGATAATCATAAGTCACATAAGTATCATTTTTAGTTAAGAACGTACAGTGAAATGAATTCATTATTTTTCTTGAGATGGGTGGAATCTAAATTCACAAGTAGGTGTTCAGTATGGCAAGTATTACGCTAAATGTGGCTGTGAGTTGGGTTTGGCTAATGCTGGTTACAGTCAGTCATAATCAGAAGTTTTGTGAACATTTTGGTTTCCCAATAAAATACACCAACACTGGACAGAGAGTAGTCAACATGACCAAGACTGTCCCTGCAGTTCTGTTATACTGAACTTGGATATGTTGCTGGATACTTATCCAACATGGTGACTCATTTTAAACATCATCCGAGTGGGAGTACAACCGGACAAAAGCAGAAACCGCTTCTGCAACTTAGTGTCCCTGTGACATTGAAGGCATTTCTGCTAGGAAATCCAGACCAGGCTAAAAAAAATAGCTGACTATAGTGGTGTTTATCACTAGAGAAATTCGACCATACTCAATAGTAGAGAACAGAAGTTAGTTCATTATGATTGTTATAATGTAGTCTTTTTTGTTTTTGATTTTTTTTTTTCATGAATGACACATTGCCTTTGGTTTACATTTGTTCCTAGTTGTGTTTGTGTTCACAGTATTTGTTATAAATGCTTATAAAAAAAATCAGTTTTCCCTGCTGTACTGAAATTGCAATGAAACACAGCAAAATTTATAGCCTTGATGCGTAAATTCTGAGTACATTTCTGTAATCACCATTAAAAAGTACATAAAAGGCACCCCTTATTTGTTCTATGACAATTTTTTTCTTTACCAGTGTAGTCTTAATTCTTGGATAGATTTCCAAAACTTGTCCTTTCCATGTGGCACATGGAAAAACTGATAACGCTTTGCATTAAGTGTACCTTCATAATGCTTTTATATTGCATTCATAAAACGTTCAGTACACCTTCATAATGTATTAATTAAGTATTCATAAAACATTCATAAACATCATGTATGTATACCGTAACATCCCTTACCAGCTGTAATATACATTAATAACAAACATTATATAATAATAACAAACATTATAATTGTATATGGTTGTTATTAATTGATGTTAGGATGTTATGGAGTACTTGCATGCTGCTTATGAATGTTCTATGAATGCATTATGAAGGTGCACTTAATGTAAAGCGTTACCAAAAAATTTATCAGGCTGCTGGGGGATTTTATCCAGAGCTTTGATTTTCTATTGGAAACGTCACCCACAGAAACCCTGTTTTCATTCTAAATTTGTACCCGATCGCCTGGTTTATTTTATAATTTCAGTTTCAAAGGAAAATGATTTTGATTCACATGAATATTCAGGAACAGCCAGAGGACCATGTTCCTCGGTGCTCTGACCGGTGCTCTGAGAGTAGAGTTCCTCTGGTCCTAGGCTCAACCATGTGAGTGAGGTTGATGTCACCTCGTTTCTGTGGTGTTCCTATTTGCTCTGAAGTAAACCAACAATCAGCGTTATTATGTATCTGATTTCTCATTGCGGCTAATGCAATACTTTGCACCGCATTGCTGCATTCTCCCTGCAGCACATGGCTAGACTGAAAGCTTTAATCTTGATGGATCTACCTCCGAGACAGCAGACATGTTGATTGGTTAGCGGTACATGATGGCCCAGTTCTTCACTGCTGCTGTACAGCAGGTTTCCACCTGCTATGCTCTGCTCTTCACATTAAGGCTTTTGGGCATTTTGAGAAATTCTGTTCAGGGAAGTTTTTACTCGGCCATGAATGTTTAGGAGCACACCATTTCGCAGACTGGCTGCCATTACTGGGCCCAAGCCTTTCCATCTAGTCAGGGTTCAGCCTCTGTGTTGAGGAGAAGAATCACCTCTAACCATGTGAGGATTCATCTCTTTATGCCGTGCAGTGTCTTCCAGGCCCGGTGTGACCCCCTCTGCTCATTCCCACAGGGCAGATGGAGACGCCTTTCTACGAAGAGTGGTGGTTCCTCATTGTGGTGGCTCTGTGTGGCGTCATCCTCGTCCTGCTGGTGGTCTTCGGCCTGGTGATGCACGGTCAGAATAAGAAGTACAGTAGCTGTGGAACAGGTGAGGAAGTCGTGTGTGTGTGTGTGTGTGTGTGTGTGTGTGTGTGTGTGGGTCTCCATAAAACTGTGGGGAAGGTGCCCCAAAGAGGCATGAAGCTCTGAAAATGCTGTGGGGATGTTCTCAGAATACCATGTGTTCTTTTCTGGGGTGATCTGTGCCGTCTCTAATGGCAGGAAGGCTGTCAGGGTTGTTGTGTGTCCACCCTCTATGATGGGAATGACGTACCTGGGGTGTGTGTGTGACTGTCAAACTTGTTTTCTGTGACTGCATGTATATGTGCATGTTTGTGTCCTTACTGAGCGCTGGATATGCATTCGTAGGTGATGTTTTCTGTGTGTATGTGTGTGCACCCATTAATTTCCAGTACTGGCACTTCCATTCGGGATTTGTGAGCCCAGCTTAGCTGCTTCTGAGGCTGACAGATTCGATAAAAACAGAAGCTGCCTGCATAGGACACGTCTAATCTGTGCTGCCTCCGATAGTCTCAGTAAACACCGCCATCGTAACTCTGTTGGTCCCTTTCCATCAGGAGGGCCTGGCCAGCTTAACATTAAACATCTTAGTAGCTGCTGATGCTCATTTCTTTAAAACCTCAGAATTAACACAGATCTCCGAATCTCAGAATTACTGCAGAGTTATTTTTAAGCCACAGCCGAATCCTTGTCTGCTTTCAGGAAATGCTATCCCCACAGTTGAGCAGTCGGTCACACTGGATAATGGAGGCTTCACTGCACTGGAGCTGAATAGCCGGCACCTGAACATGAAGAGCGCCTTTCTAAAGAAGAATGGCACCAGGTGGGGGGAAAAAGAGTTCCCATGCTAGAGTCTGCCTTCTAGTGGTGGGGCAGTGATTTGATGTCAGTAATTCTATATGAAAAGTACAAAAAGGCAGGTTATGATTGGTTATAGTTAGGAAATGCTAAAGCTATCTAGATTCCCCATGGGGATGAATGCAATACTGTACTATTCTATTCTATTCTATTCTTTGGTTGTCTAGTTATTTGTTTCCCTTGAGAATTTTGCTGAAGTACTTTTACCCAGGTGTTACTGAAACATGTGGTGATCTAATCTGTGTCTTTGGGAGTGGCCCATTCAAAGACATCATCCCGTATCTGCAGGTCTCCCCCACGGCCCAGCCCGGGCGGGCTGCACTACTCCGACGAGGACCTCTGCAACAACTACAATGGTGGCATCCTGTCAGAAAGCACCACTCTCACAGAGAAGCCCACCCTGGCATCAGAGTCAGAGGTATGAAGCCTTTGATGCCATCACTTTTGCCTCACCCCCTCCCCACTGGCATTTTGCCGACTTGCAGAATAAAAATGAAAATGAGTCTGGAAAGGAGGTGATCACTAGGTTCTGGTATTATTTAGGGTCCCCTCTCAAAATTATTATCCACCCCCTCCCTTTTTATTTTTCCATACAGTCAGTGCATGTAAAGCGCAGGAACCCATGTTATGAAAGGGGATCCGTTTCATTCCCATGCTAATAATATGCTGCCCAAAGCTGTGTTTTCATTTATCTGGAGAACCACTGGCCTTCCTTTTTCCTTTAAAAATAAAAACTAATACCCTGACATTTCTGCCCAAAATGAAGTGAGTCACATTATAAGAAATTGAAATAGCACAATTTGACACTGACGCTTATGGGGAACTCAGGCTAGCAGCTGAGATCTCATGTTGAACTTGAGATGAAGGGGACTGGGTGTCTCTTGGTTAAGTCCAGCAGAGCATCCTGATGTCCTTTCCCTGCTTCCACTATGTTGAAGTGATCTACTATCATGTAATAAGAAACCAGAGATCTCCCTGATATTTCTTCATCCCTCTAGTTTGGGTCTGGTTTGAGGAAAAGTTAGGGAAAATGCTTCCCTAGGTATGCACAGAATATGGAGGCCAGCAGAGGTCCACCCAGACCCCCTGTTAGGCTAATCCCTCTGCTCACTCACTCTCTCTCTCTCTCTCACCCTGGAAAGGTCACGGACAGCGAGCCAGAGGACGAGCCGCCCAAGCACTCATTTGTCAACCACTACATGAGCGACCCTACCTACTTCAACTCGTGGAAACGGCAGCAGAAGGGCCTGAAGCAGAGCCTGGCTTATGCCTACGAGGAGTGTGCCAGCGCAGACAGCGAGCCCTACTACCAGTCTGTTGTCACGGCCCACAGCACGGGTGGAGCCTACACCCCAACCGGACAGCCCGCCTCCGGCTCACGGACGCCCATCACAGGCTTCTCCTCTTTTGTCTGATGCTCCAACCCCCCCCACTCCTCCATACACGTTTTTTGGAGTCTATATCACAGACTGAACCAGCAGCACCCTTACACGTGGCTTTGACAACTGTCAACACCACAGCAAATGCAAAAGAAGTGATTTCTCCCCAAAACCATCTCAATATCAATTGATAATTCTTTGGTTATATTGTGTTAGTGATGTTCGCGGTGCCAAATCATAAGTATCCAAATGAAACTGTAAATAAATGTGAGAACAGCTAAAGGTTGGAATAGATCTTTTCCAGGTGTCAGATGTGTAAGTCATTAGAGTTTTGATGCACTTCTACTGTGTACAGCTCACATGCTCTATGTGTACCCCCTTGCCTCGATGACCTGATCATCTGTTTGAAGGCTGTATGTGAGCGACAGGTACAGTATGGCCGCCCTCTCAGTGCCGGGTTCTCTTCTGGATAGAATATTATCCGGGGCTGATGACCTCCTTTGCCTTTTCCCATCTCACTTAAAGAAGGGAGGTAGGAGTTTTGGTACCTAAGCAAATTATAATTGAGATATTCCTTTAAAGCATATGTACCAGGACATTTAGCCACATTAGGAATATTACTTATAATTATAAAAAGAGATGCAGCCCTTATTAGAGTAGAGGTTGCATCAATGATTGTGAAGGTTCAGAAGAATCTCTGTAACAAAAGGTATGTCTGAATATGTTTGCCCCATACATCTACTCCAGGCATGTTGGCATCTGCTGGTCAAACGGCTTTTGGGTTGAAGCTGGCAGGACCAAAGCTGCCCTGACTTTTTCCCTGAAACAATCAAAACTTGGATCTTGCCATGTCAGTCAGGTGGTAAAGTAGCTTGGATATTTTTTTTCTTCATTTCTGAGCTTAAAAGGATCCAGTGTGAAGATCGTATTTTTTTTTTCCAGAAGTGTGAATGTTGTTTTTTTTTTTGTTTTTTTTTTTTTAACTGTTTTTGTACATACTGATTGTGCTCTTAAGCCATATGGATATTGCTCGAAAGTAAACTGTTTTGTGGCCATCCATCTAAAAAAGATTAATTATTTTGGTATTTTTTTCAAGAGAGTGGTGACAATTTGTTTTTGTCCTTTTTTAGGCTAGGTGCACATGTTGACCAGATTTTGTGTGTTAGGGGTCACTTTTTGAGCATTTTTAATATGTTGTTCTTGCCAAGTCAGTGTACTTAGTGTTACAGCCTCCGTTGGTCTGTGGTAGCCTGTTATTAGAACAGCACTGATTTGAACCATGTCAAGCCAGGCAAATATGAATGGAAGACTTTTATTTTGCAAGAAATTAGGTTGTCTTTTTAAAATTTAAGGTGTCCCCAAATGCTTCCAGTTGTATGAGTGGAGGTTTTAAGTTAATCGCTGCAGCCAGGAGTACATTAACATTTTCAGGGGGCCCTGGGCTGTTTTGGGGAGGGGAGGAGGGAATGGCTAAAAATATGAACTGGGGGGAGGGGTTTTAAATGTTATTAAACAAGGTTAGCCTGGGTAAACCTGTGCTTTAAAGCATAGTAATTCCTGAGCTGCTGAGTAACATTTATTTCTTGGTCTTACACTTTACCCATTTGACATATTTCCAATTGAAGCTCCTTAAGGCTTCAATGCATATAGGTGAGGAAATTCTGAGCACTATTTCAATTTGAGAAAAGCATAAGCACAGGTCCAGAGTCCAAACCACAGTGAATTGTACAGAACACTGCCAGGCTGACCCTCTTTAGGGTGGGGTGGGTGGTCAGCCCTCCGCTGCACTGTACCGGTTCACAGTGGTACATCCTGATTCCATTTCCTGGCACACCAACAGAGGCACTCCGGTTCTCCTCGGAAGTGGCGGGTGGGGGTGGGGTGTTGCCAGGAGTGGACTGAAGGAGAGGGGTGTCTCAGTGTTTTTATTGTGTCAGGGGTCTTGGGGGCTTCCGGGACCCATTAGATCCCCACGGTTCATGCAGTGTGTCTGGAGACAGTAATGCAGACAGTTTCTTTGGGATTCAGCAGCACAGATGTATTGCACCGATAATCATGATGCTTTGCTCTGGCTTTTAAATACATTCTTTTGACCGTCAATATTTGAAAGCAGACTGGGCGTGTGTTACCATTAGTGATGGAACATGTGAGACTTAAAAACCTACCATGGGCAAGATTACTGTGCATTGTCAATCACTGCCAACAGGAACCAACACAATAACATACGAGAAGTGGGTTAAACCATTCAGAGACTGACAGGGCATGACACACCAAGCCGCTGTGGGAAGCCTCATTTCTCCCATCACTAATAAACGTAAATCTTAGTGTGAACTTTCCCATTTTGTTCTACCAATAAAGCCTTCTATTGAATTTGCATTTTTAAAAATATGTTAATTCCCATGACTTCTGTATTTATACATTTATACAAATTTATACGAAAACCTTTAGTGTTACATGAGTGTAACAAAGCAATTGAAGTTTTAATTTATTGTAAATATAAATAGCTGTACAGGTCTTGAAAACAAGTGTGAGATTCTCTATACTTTTCACAGTGGATGATGGATGTGCTACCACTGCATTATACAGAACCAATAAATAAATTATTTGGGAGATATTTTTGAAATAGAAAAAGGGGAATAAAAATTCTACCCTGTTACGATGTGAGTGTGTACTTCTTCGCCCGAAAATGTGTAAGTCCAAATGTCTTATGAAATAACTGTGCATTTCCTCGGTTCAGTGACTCGGTTGTGATTTTTTCCCAGAAGGTGTCAAAGGCCTTAAGTTACACAGAAACACTAGGACCCTGTGCAGGTTTTGATTCTCTTAATTTAATTTATGACAGCTCTTTCTTCTTCTGATTTCTTTAAATGAAACATTAAATTTAGGTTGCAGAAAGTAAGAACTGAAAATTTTTTTCACAGTGAAGGAACCCTTTTGTGTTAAAACTACCTGAACTCACTAAATATTTGTGCATTGTGAATGAGCTTTTTACAAAGCTTAAATTGATATACAATTAAAAAAAATGTAAATCTTTGTCAATAAAGCAGGATTCAGGGCTTTGCCCATGCTGTTTATGACAGGGATGGAGTGCTGTTGACCTCAACTAGGGATATAGTTAAGCAGTGGAAGGAGCACTCTGAGGACCTCCTGAAACCCACTAACATGCCTTCATTCGATGAAGTAGAGCCAGAGGAGGAGGAGGTCACTGAGGAAGGTAAAAAGCTCTTCAGTGGTAATGCTCAGGACTGCATGAGATTGGCCCTAAGTTCCTGAAGGCTCTACTGTAAATGTCATTGAGTTGTCTTGGCTAACCTGCTTCTCCAAGGTTGTGTTGAGATTAGGGGCAGTGGCTTTGGATTGGCAGACTTGGGGTGATGGTCCCAATCATTATGAAAAGTGATCAGGGGATGTGTTCCAACTTCAGGGGGATCACACTTGACTGTGATGAACTTCTCATTTACAGTTTGGAAAATTCTGTCTTTTCCAGTACTTTATTTTTACTTTACATACAGTAAATGCTGAATCCACTGAGTCATGATATCTTTTTTTCTTTGTTTTTTTTTTTGGAGATGCAAAATGCATTTACTGTATTGTAAATAAACATTTCTCCTTGAGTTAAATGCCCTGAATAGTGTTTTCCATTTTTTGATGTAGTGTGCAGTGATTGCTCAGTGTTGTTTTTATTTTGACTGCTTCGTGTATGATCTGGAGACCTTTTTTTGTTTTGAGCACAGGTAAAACTGTTTTGGGTGAATTGTTTGATTTCGCAAGAAGAGTCAGAAGTTTTGTGAATTTAGTTTGAGATGGTGTTTTGTGTTTACTGTTTTGAGAAAAAGATGCAAGATTTCAGAAAATGTGTTTTAGCGATTCAGAGAAACTGCAAACTGTGGCCTACAGGTAAGTGTGACTGAAGCTGTATGAAGGGTCCGGCCCCAACTAAGCCGCACTTCAGTGGCATCTACAATATGAATGTTCAGAAATGGAAATGGGTAAATAACCAAATATATATGCATATATGTTTTACTGTTTCTGTACAAACTTGGTAATGGCATGCTGTCAGCAGAGGCCCATTATTTACACCAGAACAAGAGATAGCAATTGTTCAAATGGTAGTGGCCAACAATGCGATTAGGCTTCAGCGTGCCATTCTACAAGACCTTTGAGAACATCACCCCTGCCAGTCTCTCTACCATAGATAGGGTGATGAAGAGACATGCTGTGACAATGAAACAGCTCTACAGGGTTCCTTTTTCCAGAAATAATGAGAGGGTGAAGGAGCAAAGGTTCCTGTATGTGCAAGTACAGTAATGTCAATGTAACCTGAGACCATACTTTAAGCATACAATTTTGTAATTTTTTTCTTTGAGTGGTGTGTCACACTATTGGATGTTTATTTGCAATTTGATCTGATGCGCTGATTTTTGCTTTGCAGAGAGTGATGGAGTATGTGGACACATCTGTGTACAGTATATGGATGAAGCAGGATTCAAGCTGAACAAAATCACGCGACGTGGCGAAACATAACAGGCGATTGAGCCACAGTGTATGTGGCAGGTCATCGTGGTGGTAACATAACCAGGTGTGTGGCAATATGAGAGGATGGTATAATCCACCTTGTTCCCACCATCGGACCCTATAACCAATGGAGTTCTCACCACCATATTCACCCTTCCTCGACCCAATGGAGCAATTCTTCTCGGTGTGGAGGTGGCATGCATGTGACCATCGGCCCCATGACCAGTGGCCTATACTGGGGGGAAGGGATGCTGCTTGTGAAGATATCACCGCGGAAGCATGCCGAAGGTGCAGCAGTCAAGAAAGTTCTTGATGTTGATGAAGTGCTGTGGCCAAACAGAGAAGACAGGCTGGATGCTGAGATGGCTTGAGATTATACTTGCATTATATTTACAATACAGGACATCACTGTATGTTTCATAATGATTTTTTCCCTTTTGTAAAAAAAATATTTTGTTTCATGTCATTTAGAAGTTATATTTGAATGTATACTAGATATCTGTTGCATATCTGTATATTTTACATTGACAACAAAATAAATTGTGTGCCTGGTTTTGGTTCAAGTACATAGCATTTTTTTTTTGGGGGGGGGGTACCTATGAATTGGTGAAGTGTGCTTTCTTTATGGGGACAATATTTTACTGATGACTTGTTTTGTGTGTTTTGGTCAAAGTTTTGGGAGTTTTTGGTTCTTTTGCCCGTGTGAGGCAGTGCTATAACTGCCTTTACCAATTGGGAAATGCATGTAGAGTTTTGCAACAGACATGAACATTTTGGAGCATCTTAGCAATCAAGAAACTGTAATGAATTATCCCTACCCTGGTGGGTCAAATTACTTTGCAATGAGCATTCATTAACCAGCAGCCCCATCACAGTACTGGTGTTATTCACAGTTGTCCATGATTGGCTGTTTGCCCTAAAAGTAATGCATCCACACGACAACAGCACCCCATGGCAGAAGAAGGCGGCCCCCAGCTTCACAGCAAATGAAATTGAGATCCCCCTAGAGGAGGTGGTTCTGCGCAGGGACACATTACTATCAAGTTTCCGGAGCCCAATGTCGAAGGTAAGCAACACCTCTGGGAAGACATTACCAGAAAGGTGACAGTGTTCAGTCCCAGCCCACAGAGGGAGTGGGACATCATCCAGAAGAAGTGATTTTGCCAGTGTGGCCAAGGTCAGAGATGCTGCAGTGCAGATAGACTGGGAGCAGACAGGTGGGGGCCCCAGCTCTGCACCCGCACTCACCCCCAGTGAGGAGAAGTTACTGGCGATATTGGGAGAGATAGCCTCCCAGGGCATCTCAGGCAGTTGAAGTTGCTAACCCTCACCCTCAGATCAGGACGTCCTCACAGCCCTGCCAGCAATGGTGTAGCTTCTCTAGTACCTTCTGCACCACCGACATCATACCCCTCCATAAGGTCACCAGGCTGCACTGCACTAGCTGAGGCTGAATTCCAGAGGCCATAAATTTCAGTGCCCATCATACTTCCAAGTCTGTGTACGCCTATTCATGGTGGTAAACACACTCCAACCATGTGCATAACCACTGATTTCAAGTCTATCTGTGATCACATTACAGATACTGAGCAGGCACAGGACCAATGACTTGGGAGTGTCTCATGGCCATGGCAACATATCGCCATAATTTCTGTTAAATTCCAAGTGAATGGTACTTTTCATTTGTTCCAATAAAGACTTGAGGGCAACAATACCTGTGTATGTCATTGACCTTGGGATGACCAATGGCAATGGGACTTGCTAGACCCCATTTATTGGGGCATGTGCCCCCGTGCAATCTGACCGTCGACATTTGGCAGTTGGTTATTCAGATTGATAATACTGGGAAATTAATGGATGTTATCTAATCTATAGCGTCAAAGCAACACAGTGTAACACAAAATACAAGGTGAGTCGTGCACCTTGCGGTTTGGATTCATACACCCTGCCGTGCACATTACTGTCCATGTACATTACTGTCCATGTACATTACTGTCCGTGTACATTACTGTCCGTGTACATTACTGTCCGTGTACATTACTGTCCATGTACATTACTGTCCGTGTACATTACTGTCCGTGCACAGCAGTGGCAATAACACTGGGCTGAGCAAATATAGTTTACATAGCACATGTCATACATGCAGCAGGCATTTAAGGACAAATGTGTTTTGAGTAAATGGGGAGCCCATGTCCCAGTAGAGCTGTATGTCTAGTAGTGTCCCTGGCAATGGCACGATAGCAGGAAGAAATGTCACTTTACTGTGTTAACATAAGACAATGTCCCCTGGGCCACACTGAGCACTAAGGATTATTCCACGGTGTCTTTGGGGGCAGATGTAATTGACCTGCATGTCAAAGAACCTGCAGTATAGACTCCTCTGAACATCACAAACACACGTGTTTACATACCTTGACTTTGCCATTTGATATATGTGTATTCTGACGCTGTTTTGGCAGCAACTGTTCGGACATTTATGTTTGGAATGAATTGAGCTGGGGAATAAGAACTGGAAAGGAACTGGAAAAGGTCATTAAAAAGGTTGAGTGTAGAGAAATCATGGGCATGATGTGGTAATATGTCAGAGAGATGAACACGGTCATGGAAAAAACCGACGTGGGACTGAATAATTGGCAGGACGTAAATGTGTAGGGGACGGGCAGTCAAGAAAAGAGCCAAGGTGCTGTGATTGGTGCCTGAGCAGGAGACAAAGGAGAGGAAACCCATCATCCAAAAACTGCTTGAACGAGTTGATGTTGCAGGTGTGGGCATGAGCGGTGTTCAGTCATGTTCAGCCTGAGTCACAGGATTAGCAACTGGAGTGAGTAGATACCGTTGGAGGGGGTAGCCACTGTCTCTGAGATATACACTCTGGCTGAAGATCCCTCATTCAGCATCTGTGCCCACCGCTGAATTGGCCAACGCGAAGTTATCCTGGGTGCTGCCTGGTCACTTTGCCACCATGTCTAGGATCAGTCCACCCTGTGGTCCACCACCACTTGGACATTGATGGCTGAAAACCCTTCCTGGATTTCAGGGCTGAGAGCTAAGAGTTCCATTATTTGCTGCCGTGCAAGTCTAAGCTTCTGCAGCAGTGCTGTGTCGAACATGATGCCCAGAGGGCAGAAGTTTTGCCAGATGAAA